GCAAACGGTAGGAAATTCAAAAACAAAAATTCAGAAAAAAAAATTGAATCAGCATAAAAAATTGAACATTTTTCAAAAACAATCGAAAACCCCCAATTTCACACACAACTCATAAATTGAATCAGCATAAAAAAATTGGGTGAATGCACATCATTTTTTGGGTTAAATGCACGTAGAAATTTGGTAGATTGAAGAACATACCGTAAATGGGTGGATCATCTCCGAGGTCCCTCAAAACCGGACGAAATATGTTCAGTGCAAGATTTCTGCTTCGAGTATATACTTGCATAACGGTGATAAATCACTAGAAAACTAAATGAAAACATTCAATCAAGCCAAAAATCGAAAGATTTTTTAGAAATCGTAAAAACCCATTTCCGGATTTTTCTTACCGTCGCTCACGTCTCACTGTGGGCTTCAACAAATCGTGGATGGTGAACGACGAGGCGGGGAACGGAGAGGAGAAGGCGGTGAACGGAATATGAAGAGGCGTATTAGGCGTGAGATGGAGAAACCAGGTCCGTCTCCCTTCCAAGCACTTGGGTTTTGGGTGATGAAGCCTTTAGGCGTGAAGTACTGTGAAGTTATGGTGGTTAGACGGTTTTTACCCTTACTTGTGGAAAATAAAAATCCATTTTTTAAAATTTAACAGTGAATTCTAACGAAAGGACGTTTTGCGCAAGAAAAGGTAAATGTAGGGACTTTCTACGCCAAGAAATCAAAGATATGGACGTTTTCCACAATAATCACCAAAGGTATTGACATTTTGCGCCAATTACCCTTATAGATAAGTGTATTAATGTAATTTGTGTCAATCCATATATTAATTTTTCTTGTAATAATGTGTCTACTCCTTCTATTTTTGCTCCAGGAACTCTTTATATTGTCCATTTCATCTTCGGATACAACAGCACCAATTAATCCATGAAATGATTCTTCATCTATGCTAATATTTATTTCTACCATTTGTAACTGATTTTTTTTTCCTAGATTATTTATATTTAACTATATTTGGATTAGTATTAAATGAAAATGGAGAGCACAAGTTAGACGGTTTGATATGTTTGAATTGAGTTGTACAAATTAATTTTCTATTAAAAATCAAATATAAACTTCTCATTAAAACATATTGTATCATCTTGACCGATGAACCTTAAAAAATGTTTCATTCAAACCACGGTTTGATATGTTTGAATTTAGACGGTTTGATATGTTTGAATTGAGTTGTACAAATTAATTTTCTATTTAAAATCAAATATAAACTTCTCATTAAAACAAATTGTATCATCTTGACCGATGAACCTTAAAAAATGTTTCATTCAAACCACGGACTCAATTTGACTTTCATTTTAAAACTGAACATTACACTTGATTTAACTGAAAATTCAAATGATTTGATAACTCGGTACAAAAAACCGTACAAGTTTCAGTTAAAAAATTTATGTCAAACTGCATTAGTGGTCTTATAAATTCAGTGATGAGTCTAAACAAATTAAAGTTTGTGTCCAAGACGACATAGTGAAAAGTTAAGTGGGCAGCAATATAATGAACCCCAAAAATGGGACTAAACGCGAGATGGAAGAAACGCTCATGACGTAGCACGATTTTGTTAATCGTTAAATACGATTAAAAAAAAAAAACCCTCGCGCTTCGTGCTGTTTCAACTTCCAATTTTTGGAACCCTAGCTGGTGGTAGCTACTCCCCACTTCCAGCAACCATGAAGCTCGTCAGGTATGTATCTTGCATTTATTTTTCATTTCTTCCTTCCTTCAATTTATTTTTTCTGACCATTGTCCTTGAGTAACATATAATTCACCCGGAAATGTATTTTTCAAGTTCTTATAAATTAATGGTTTGTATAATTAATTTTATTTGGCAGATTTTTGATGAAATTGAACAACGAGACCGTCTCAATTGAACTCAAGAACGGCACTGTTGTTCATGGCACTATTACGGGTACACTGGTTTTCCATTAAACGTTGTTGTTGTTGTTTTGTTAAACCTTAGGTATCCTTAAGTCACAATTTACAATCGAGTTATTCTTAGACTTTTCATAATTGCTCTGACGGAATCGAAAGGCTTTATTCTTAACTTAAAGTTAATGCTTAGTGATTCAGTAATTTGTGTACATTTTTTGAAAATATAGATGTTTATCACAGTTAACCCAAGGATCAGAGCTTCTTTGACTTTACCTCTAGTGGTTTATGATTGCGTAATATATTGATATTTGCCTCAGCTTTGTAACTTTTGAGTGTGTACCCATGTCCTTCTAGCTCCAAAGAGGTGGATCTTGCGACCACTTTGTATTTCAGTGTTCCAAAACTGACCTTAGGCAGTATGTCTGTTAATTTTTTCCCTCAAACAAAATTTCATCAAGTATACAAAAACTTGCATACTTAATGCAAGGTTTTCTTATTTTGGATGTTTGGAGAATGTAAGCACGAATAACCGTATCTTTGGAAATGACGCTAACATTATATTTGATGTTATGGAATTCAGGCCATATAGTTGAAATTATACAATATTCTATTCAATTAGGAATGTAAACTTTTATAAGTGGCATTTGAAAGCTGCAAGTCCACGTCACGATATTTGTATTAGAAAAATAGCATTCTCTAGAATGCTTGCAATGCAAAGGCCTTGTCCAAAATTTGAAAGCAAAGAAAACAAAGTAAATTTTGTCTTTTAATTTATGAAAATGTGGGGAAATTTATATTTTACTCCAACCTGATCATGTTACAACATCCTGAATTCAGTATTATTTTAAAAGTTACACCCTGTGATACTCCGAGGAATTGATTATGACTATTGAATGTCATGCAATTTCCATATTGCATCAACAAGTTATTGTTGACAAAGTGACCTAAAGTTTAAGCGTTGTTTTTGTATGAAGGAACATATTCATGCATTCTAAGAAATTGTATTTAAGTTTCCTTCTGATCAAGATTGGACAATTTCTTCAATGTTGAAATTGTAGAAACTTGGAGGCCAAACGCCAGTGATTCAAAATTGCGGCACAATCAATTCTACTCACTAATGAAATCAAATTTTAAAATTTTTAGGTTGTAAATAGTTATATGCAACTACAAGAACATTATTGAGATGATATAGAAATGAATTATCATAATCTACACATAGATATTGCCATATTGGCATCTGTTTTGTGAAGATGCATTATGATGAATGAAGAAGAAATGAGGACGTTCACAATGTTGTGTGTGATGACTAATGATACTAGAATGGATGAGTAACAAGTGAAGGCAACACCCATCGAGGATAAATTAAGAGAATGATAACTATAAGTGTCTCATTCACTAGAGTCATGCAATCTTTGTGGAATAGGTTGGAAGAGGAAGAGTTGGTCTAAGATTTGTCGTGGTTGTGAAGGACGTTGTAACATTGGATCTTCTAGTAAATATAGTCAGTGGCGGAGCCAGCATTCGACGAGAGGGTGCGACCGCCCGTGCTGACTCCACTGGAATTTACCGTAGCCACCGAGATCAAGAGCCAGCCAGCCAGACAGGGAGGCTGCAGTGGCGTTTTGGTGGTGACGAAAGGGACGACTCAGGTTACTGAAAATTGGGCCTTTTTGTGCCTCTTTTTTTAAAAAATTTAGGCCCAAAATCAAATCAATCCACTGATTTTATGGACACAGTTCACAGTTGGACAGGCAATCTGTGCAAATCAACTGTAAACAGCCAATTCTAATTTCCAAATTTCAAACCCTTCCTCCTGTTGGCTGTCCTACAAAGTGCGAACTCAGCCCTGCTCAATCGGACCTACCCTATGGTTGCTGTCGGCGATGGTGAGTAGCCTCCCTTCCTCCTGTTGCTACTACAAACCTAGTGACTGCCTGTGAGTCCGCCTCCTTTTTTTCTTTTTTTCGTTTTTTGTCTTTTAATTCAGGTTATCATTTATAAGTTATGATTTATGTTTTACAAGTTATGATTGTGATTTGAAATAAATAATTTATGTTTTATGAGTTATGGTTTATCATTTATGAGTTTTGATTTGTGATTTGGAAATTTAGGTTTAGGATAAATGGAAAAAAAGTTGAAAAAAAAAAATAATTTTAATTGAACCAATTTTAATTTAGGTGTTGAAGTTTGAACCAATTTTAATTGAAAAAATAAACTGGGGCATTTTGCAGATTATGGAACAATTTTTTCAACAGAAGCGAAAGTCCGTACCTAATTCTTCAAGTTCTAGCTATTTTTGAGCCGAACGATTTTTTCAACAAACAATTTTTAATATTATTTAATTAAATATTCATAAACGATCTCACTACGGCAGTTGATTGTCGACGGTCAATGGTCAGTAGTTAGCGTCCGCCATAGCTGACCTCCAATCTTGGATTCGCCACTGCATATAGTGATGGATTGAACTATGTGGTGATAGGGATTTGTATAACCACTTCAAATTCATTTAAGATAAGGTTTAATTTATTGTTGTTGAGGAATTGCTATGATCCCGTCTCTGTTGTACTGATTGTGAACTCTTTTATGTTTTCACTGTTGCACTAATTGTGAACTCTTATATGTTTTCACTGTTGTGTAAATTTATCCTTTTGGAATTTCATGCAAGTTGACCGAGTTGCTATTGCCATACTAATTAGGACTATTTGTTTGCCATTTTTTGGTTTTATCAAGAAATTTGGTTTTCCAGTGTCGTCTCATTTACACTAGGAACATGTGGAAATATTTAGACATAAGCTGCATTGTCTTATTACTGGCATTGCTGTTTATGTAGGAGTGGATGTTAGCATGAATACGCATTTGAAGACAGTGAAACTGACACTGAAAGGGAAGAATCCAGTTACTCTTGATCATCTAAGTGTTAGGGGTAACACCATACGCTATTACATCCTTCCCGACAGCTTGAATCTGGAAACTTTACTTGTTGAAGAGACTCCTAGAGTGAAGCCCAAGAAGCCTACTGCAGGTACTGGATTTATTGCCCTTGCCCCAGTTTCTTACATTTGGAATCTACTTAAATATTTCTCCCCACATTTTACTGGTTGTAATCTTTTATACGTTTCTGCTAAAATATAGGGAAGCCTTTGGGCCGTGGAAGGGGCAGAGGACGTGGTCGTGGTCGTGGAAGAGGCCGTTAAATTATTTCTTGTTTTTTTTTCTTAATATTTGGGAAACCTCGATATCTAGACATTGTAAGAACTTTCTGTTCAGAGTTTGGGTTATGTAACAAACAAATTCCTACATCTGTGTGTCCTCTGAATTGCTATGCTTAACGTATGAGTTTTTTAGGTAGAATAAGTTATTTTATCTTGTGGCTTGGTTGGGTTGATGAATCAGCAGTGCAGCCTTGTCCATATTTTCCTTCACGTTCTTGCTATGGATGCTTTCCCTATCATAATGATGGTAAGGATCCACTTCCATTTTAGGTGGTAGTGTAGCACAGGAATCAGAAATCTGCAAGTTGTTCACTCTTTTCACTCAATGCTTCTCTGTAACTGTAACATTTCTTTTAACAAATAGTAGTTGCTGTTTTCTGTTCAATTAACCTAGAATAACCATACAAACATTTATGAACCATGCTAGTGGTACATCACACCCTACATATGGGTGTCCATGCGCCTCTCCATTGGATGAAGTGCCTGTGGGGTCGGCACTTCATCCAATGGAGAGGCGTCGGGTGTCCATAATGGACACCCTTATGTAGGGTGCGATGTACCACTAGCACAATCCAACATTTATAGTTTCTATAGCAACTCTGTGTGGGGGCCATCAACAACTATTTCAACATCTAAATCACACAAAGGTAATTAGCATATAACGTTCTTATCTTTCACTTCTATTGTACAAAACGTCTTTATCTTTAATTTTTTTGGCATTTTCATCTCTAATTACATTTTTTATTGCGTAAATTGTCTTTCCATCAATTTCCATTTAACTTCTCCATTGAGTGAACATGTGTAGTTAAATTTTTTTTTCAAAATAAAAGGGTATTATCATCTTTAAATATTTTCCCTTCCCCATCTTCTTCTGCCCCCAACACCAATTTGCACTACCACCATTAGTATAATCCTCACTACCACCAGCAGAAACACCATTACCACACCATCTCAAGACTACAAAAACTGCCATTACCATCACCAATGCCACGCCATCTCACCACCATAAAAAGCCACCTTCACGGTCAGCCCATTTTGCCACCAACATTAAATCAGTCACCATAAGAAGGAAAAGACCATTAAAAACTTGGCGGATTAAGAATTTGTATTGAAAGCTTGAAATTTTGGGTGCTGAGGGGGAAAAGACTGCACTCAATAGGGATGGCAAAAAAATCCAACGAAACCGATACCCGCGGGGCCCGACCCCAAACGGAAAAAGGATTACTCGCTTAATCGGGTATTCGGGATGGAGACGGGTGCCCCGCCTCGTTTAATATATATATTTTAAAGAAAGACCTCAAAAAAAGTACATGGCAATCTTTGATTGCTCAGCAACATCCAGATGTACCAAATTCAAGCGGGTCACGTGTCGAAGTTTGGTTGAACAATTTGAAGATTTAAAACAAAAACAGCCAATCATTTTTTGACAAAGGAGTCTATTTATCCTTTCCCTGCTTTTCACCTAGCTTTACCCATTATTATCATATATGGCAGAAACTAGAAAGTACAACTTTATTTAGAGCTATTATGTCGACTTTCCATCTTCAAAATTAAACCAACATATATATACATATACATATATCTTCTATATATTAAA